AAATTAATCAAATTCTTACTATATCATTGCTAATGTTAATATTTATTTGTTATCGAAGGGGGTAATGTTTTGCCCTACCTGAAGTGTTCTCGTACTGAATACTCAGTACGTTCCCAAATACCAGCAAAAAAAAATTTGCAAGTGATTCGAGTGGGAATTAATCCACGACCTCCAGATAACTAGCCTGGCGCCATAACCACTAGACTACCGAGCTTGGGCCTAGTTAACTAGTGTTGAATCCGATCCCCAAGTAACAGTGGGTACTGCAAATGCTGTTACGATGACCATATTTAGGCATGTCACATGCTTTTGTAAAATAAAATATGATAGTCTGGACAGGGCTTTAAAAATATAAAACCTGATATAAATAAGAAAAATGGGGCGGATTGCTATAAAACGGTCTTAACTGGTAGTCTTAACTCCTCGAATAAAGCCAGCTTTGAGTATTAAAATGCAAACAAGCATTCCCTGGTAACGTAAGATTGAGGGCGACGTAATGCGTGCTCGATGCACGCAAATGTATCGAAATGAACGTAAATAGACCTCAGCGCCGTAGACCTATTTTTACAGACGCTGAGAAGTGTGCGGAGTATTAGTCGTTCAATTCTCCGACTTTGACGATCTAGGCCTAGGTCTTGCCATTGCACAGTTGAATTTATCAGCAGAACGTCATGATGAAAATGATTTAAGACCGTTTTAAGCCTCCTCCGAGTAGGCTTTAAAATTTAAGACGGCTAACTGGTTAGACCGCGGTATAGCAATGGTCTATAATTATAGACCAGTAGTGACATCACGACTATAGCCGGCTAACCGTTAAGACCGTCTAAAGACCGCTTACAGCAATCCGCCCCAGGTTTGATTTTGAAAGCTTGCTCAGCTTAACTGGTTAATCCTTAAGCCAGGCACTCACTTCGCCCGACGGTTGTCCGCCGACGCAATTCTATAAAGTACACAACATGACGCGCTCAGCAGGTCCTTTTTAATGACGATCGTTCAGACTGCCACCGATAATCAGGATTCATCGTGCGACGGTCGTACGATGCTGTGAGTGCTCGGTTTTACCTGCCCTGGAACCACAAAATAATATTTTTAATGAATACAAACTAAAAATGCTAAATGAGGCATGCCATTCCAAAATCAGTGCAATGTCGCTATCATGCTAAACTGAGTAATTTGCATTTGAATGTTTGAAAATTTGATACATTTGTAATAGCTTTTAACCTCATAACTTGGGAAATCAATAGTCAATACTAGCAAGTGACCCATCATTTAAAGGTTATAATAAATAGAACGTATAAAAAGTTCTCTTTTGTGGCTGTTGATGCTGGTTTTGTGCATGGGTGGCGCCAGGATTTGTCCGAAGGGGGGTGGGGGGGCTGACATTTCTAAGGCTTATTTCATCAATTGTAGAGTCTAATAATATGGAGAAAATACATACAATTTTTTCCTCCCTGACCAATTGTGGTTTTCCTCCCTGACAGGTGGGTGGGCGTTTGTTGTTGTTTTGGGCCATCCCCGACGAGAACAAAGTGGGCATGGTAGGCATCACTCAAAATATAAAAAAAGCTTATTTATTCAATTTTAGAGCGTACTAATATGTAGACGGGTCCCCGGTCCCTGTTAGCACGACCCCTGGTTCTGTGATGGCCTCAAATAATTTGTTAGAATACATGATTAATATTTAAAGGCCTATGTGTAAAGTGTGTGTATGCTATAATTAATGTTTCAGTCTTTAATTTGAAGCACGTCATGATTTTGTCCAAACTCAGTTGGGAAAATACCCAAAAAACCATCCAATTATTATTGCTCTACATATAATGTATTATCAATAAGTCAGTGTTTATCTTGAGGCATTTGAGTATTATATGGAAGTGCTCTGGAGCCTTTGGTGATATGTGCTATAATAGATCAATTATTATTTAGTTTGTCCTAAAAGCCTCCTACCCTACCACTTGTGCTAATTTTCAAGTTCAATCTCTTGCATAACTATACTAAATCTCTAGTCACACTATTAAGTTTATTGTTACAAATTTGTGTGATTTTCTCATATATGGGCAAGTTGATATATCAGACCCATATATAGGCAAAGCATAGGTATTGTTACAAAAAAAAATTATATTGTAGTACATGTTTATATTTTTTTTCTGTTGTTTTAGATTGTGATGGCGCCTAATTCAACTGTCGAGGTTCCGTTGCAATTCATGCCGTCATCACTGGGTCAGAGTAATCATACAGCCAAGGTGGCTTTCACCTGTGACCAGGTATCAAATTAATTTATTCACTCATTAACACATTTAATCCCCTGAAATCATGTGGAGTATCATTTGAATTTTTATTTACTGAAAATAATTTTGAATGTTTTGTTGTTATGAGTAAAACTATAATAATGAAGGTGATGATCATATAGAACCCATTGTACAAGTCTAATTTTATTTGCATTTTTAATTTATTTCAAAAGTAATATAAACAATTAAATTAATACTCTAAAAACAGATGCAATGCCTTTGGGAATACAGATTATTATTCGATTGAACTCAAATTATTGGATTGGTAGTTAAGCACCACCTGGCCATAATAATAATCATTATAATAATATTTTCATACTTAGAAGTCAAATAAAGTTACTTGATCATAAGAATAATAATCTTTTGTATTATAATAATAATATTGTTAATGTTTATTATTTATATAAAGCCTTAAGCATACAAAAACTACCTCAAAGCATTCACAACCATTTCACACTTGCTCATTAGGGCCCATCTTTAGCCATTTTTTGCTCCCTGTGGATTATACCATAGAGCAAAACCTAGTCACACAGTAGTGTATTGTGCACATACTGCTCATACTACCAGACACCTTTTTATACTTCTTGTTAGAAAGAGACATAATTATTTCAAGTACACAAAAAAATTGATCAATCAATATATAATGTTTAACTAGAAAGTTTCATTAGAATTATTGAGAGAAAATAAAATATCTCAAATGCCTAAAGGGGTGTAAAACCTCCCAGTTAAATGAATAATGAAAAGAAGAAAAATAATGATTATTAAATTTTAAATTAGAAAAGTCTTATTAGCCAATAAAGAGAACAATTAACTTCAAGTGCCTTGAAGTAATTGCACCATTGTGTTAATGAATATCATTATTTTTGTTAATCAAAATATAGATAAAAACCAATTCAACAAATAATTATCTTGTACAATTCGATATATTAAATATTTATTGTCACAAAAGTTTAAAAGCACCTTGTTTGTAAGCAATAGGAATGGTGCTATACAAATACTAACGTATAGTAACACAGTCATGACATTGCTTTAAGATGACATTAACAAAAGGCTTTAGTAATACGAAATATAAAAACTATTTGGAAAAGTTTTTTGACTACTATACTTTTGTGCTTTAGCTTGGTGAATGGGTTTTCATTGCATCTGGTACAGGACTTACCCCGGCACCTTTGGAAACTGTGAGCATTAGCTCCACGTTACTCTCAAACACCTCCCTCATCATTCCATTCCGAAATCCGACAAATGAGACAGTTTTCGTGGATGTAGTTTTGTCAGGTGAGAATTTAATTTCTGTTTTTGTTCTTTATTGCTGATGCATAGCTATTATTTCAAATAAAGTGTTTTGTCTTAATGTCCTACTTTCCCCGTACGTACTTCAAACAGCCATTTAAACTATACAAAAATATTTTAAAATTATTTTTGTATACTTTTATACCTGAATTTTAAAATATACTAGTTACTATCTATTACTATAGTTAAAGTTTTATACAATTGTTCATATTTTATATTATAAATAGATATCATAGTTATAGATTTTATGTTATAGTTACAGTTTCTTTTATCACAGTTACCATTTCATCCACCATTTACAAACAATTTTATATTTAAGACATTACTTTTATATTATAGTTACAGATTTGTATCATTGTTGTAAATTTATACCATAGTTACAGTTTTTTTTACCATAGTTAATTTTTTTTGTAATTTGAATATTTGACTATTTATATATTTTTATCTTTTGACATGTAGTTTTTAATGTATTTTTATATTTCAAATTTTACATTTTCTACATATACAATTTTTTTGAAACTTACTAATTACTCAACATTCAATTCAGTTTATACTGCATTTTGTTTTCTGTACAGATTTAATGTTTTTTTAAAAAATAAAGATACCAAAATATATATACCTTAGTTACCTATTTATACCATGGTTACAGTTTTACCATAATACTATGTACAGTTTTATCCTACAGTTAATATCTTTGTTACCATTTATATATTTAGTTACATTATATATTATCGATAGTGTTATACAGTACTATATGTTTTATTACCTTAGTTACTGTCTGTTTACTTTTGTTTTGTGCTAGATTACTTTTAGTAGAGTACATTATTTTTTTGCTAAAAAATACGTTGATGTTTATCTTACAGATAACACAGATTTGTTGCAGAATATCACAGAACCCCTTGAACAAAATCAGATCAACCCAGATTCAGCATTTTGCCTTCTTCTTAAACATACCACCAACATTCATTTGGGCCCAAAGGCAACTCTTGATATTCCATTTACATTTGCACCTGACAACATGCAATTGCACAAGGCTCTTTGTGTTGTGTCGATCCGTCGTGTAGACAGCTCAGATTGGGAGTATGAAATACCGGTTGAACCCAATCACCCTTATGGGCGAAGGTGAGAGAATTTTTATTTTTTTTTTCACTATTATTGATTTTAAGCAGTCTATTTGTATTTATTTGTTGTTGGTTAATTTTACATAGTATTTATCTCTGTATTTAATTAATATTGTAGAACCCTATTAAAAAAAGTGTCCCCTTAATAAAAAAATAAAAAACCAGTGGGGGGCTGGTGGAGAAACTTTTTATGTTTGGATCACGGAATCCAGTATATGAACACTCATACTGGTGGTTTGGGGAAACTGCATTTTGCTTAATACATACCTAATAGTAGGCCTTGTACTTTATATTGGACAAAATACTGTTACCTTTGTCTCTCCTACCAATGCTGAGTATAAATGGATACATGGTAGAAAATAAATGATTTGGAATGAAACCAAGTTTTGCTGAATAAACTTTTGAAAGGTAAAACCCAAGGGCCAGAGAATATTGCAGGTTATTATGTAAATTGATTCTGTATCCAATGAACTGGAGAATAGCCCTTGAGCAATTCTTTGAATTTCTTTGAAATGGATATTGTATTGTGATATATGGAAATAAAATTAATTAATACTTTAGACTAGATCTAGATATAATCTAAAATATCAATCTTCCTCATGCCTTAATGATAATTTGTATTGTGGTATATCTTTTATTCATGCCTTCATATTATTTTACAAGATTTCATAATTCAACATTAATATTTTACCATCTACTCATCAATTTACTAAGAAAACTATATACAGTACCTTTCAGTTTCTATGCGGCTTACTCAAAAGCATAAATGGGTTTATGTGTTTATGCACAATTTTATTTGTAAAGTACAAATATAATAATTTGCATGAAGAATTTCAAAATTAATTGGTATTAGGCAGTAGACTGAATTATTGATGTAACTGGTGTAATTTAATGTATTTCGACATATGGTATAAAGTTAATGAAACTCTTGGAGACTCGGATAACTAGATGCAAGGGTCTCTACTGAAACCTCGTTTTAATATCAATCAATAACCGAAGGTTATAATGCATGAATCATGCATAGGACTAGAGTAGGTTCGATTTCATTGGCTACTGCTGGTTACGTGAAAACTGCAATGAATAAGAAAGTTTAAGACTATTATAAAATGTGTAGCTAATGAACTGACGACTTATACATGTGTTAATAAACGATAATCTGAGTTATGATATATACCTCCTTGCATCTATGAATTCTGTGTTTTAAAAAACGAACATAAACTATTACAATAGGCCTAGACCTATGTCGAACATGTTTCTCGTCCTCGTGAGTTGTTGTCGTTTCACCTTGATACGCACCTTTGACCTACACAGTTATAGAGGGCGCTACCTCTGCTAACACAACATTTATATATTGTAATAATTTAGATATACAATAATGTGTTAAACCTCCATCCCCCCCCTCTTTTTTTTTTTATCACTTTTTAAATTAAATTTCATAAAGCATTGCTCAAGGTGTTTTTCCTGGTCTTTGGATCTATACAAACCCAATGTATAACCTCTTTTGCTCCCATGGAATATTCCTAGTCATGTTATGGATTCAACAGTAGTTCTAGGCTAGATATATAGTCTAAAATATCAATATTCCTTATGCCTTAATGAATTAGGAAGTTCGGGGAATTCTTTTCTTGAGGTAACTAATGATAATCTTGAAAAATTACCGAACAATTTATTGTTATTTAAATATTTTCTTAATTATTTATGTGATTTGAAAACCTCATCCTCATCATCATAATCATCATGGCCATCATCATCATCTTAATTATCATCATGGCCATCATCATCATCTTCTTAATCATCATCATGGCCATCGTCATCATCTTCTTAATCATCATCATTGTCAGCATCATCATCACCATCATCATGGCCATCGTCATCATCTTAATCATCATTGTTGCCATCATCATCTTAATCATCATCACTGCCATCATGGCCATTATCATCATCATCATCTTAATCATCATCATGGCCATCATCATCATGACCTTAATTATCATCATGGCCATCATCATCCTCATCTTAATCATCATCATGGCCAGCATCATCCTCATCTTAATTATCATCATGGCCATCATCATCATCTTAATTATCATCATGGCCATCATCATCATCATCTTAATCATCATCATGGCCATCATCATCATGACCTTAATTATCATCATGGCCATCATCATCATCATCTTAATCATCATCATGGCCATCATCATCATGACCTTAATTATCATCATGGCCATCATCATCCTCATCTTAATCATCATCATGGCCAGCATCATCCTCATCTTAATTATCATCATGGCCATCATCATCATCATCTTAATCATCATCATGGCCATCATCATCATGACCTTAATTATCATCATGGCCATCATCATCATCATCTTAATCATCATCATGGCCATCATCATCATGACCTTAATTATCATCATGGCCATCATCATCATCATCTTAATCATCATCATGGCCATCATCATCATGACCTTAATTATCATCATGGCCATCATCATCATCATCTTAATCATCATCATGGCCATCATCATCATGACCTTAATTATCATCATGGCCATCATCATCATCATCTTAATCATCATCATGGCCATCATCATCATGACCTTAATTATCATCATGGCCATCATCATCATCATCTTAATCATCATCATGGCCATCATCATCATGACCTTAATTATCATCATGGCCATCATCATCATCATCTTAATCATCATCATGGCCATCATCATCATGACCTTAATTATCATCATGGCCATCATCATCATCATCTTAATCATCATCATGGCCATCATCATCATGACCTTAATTATCATCATGGCCATCATCATCATCATCTTAATCATCATCATGGCCATCATCATCATGACCTTAATTATCATCATGGCCATCATCATCATCATCTTAATCATCATCATGGCCATCATCATCATGACCTTAATTATCATCATGGCCATCATCATCATCATCTTAATCATCATCATGGCCATCATCATCATGACCTTAATTATCATCATGGCCATCATCATCATCATCTTAATCATCATCATGGCCATCATCATCATGACCTTAATTATCATCATGGCCATCATCATCATCATCTTAATCATCATCATGGCCATCATCATCATGACCTTAATTATCATCATGGCCATCATCATCATCATCTTAATCATCATCATGGCCATCATCATCATGACCTTAATTATCATCATGGCCATCATCATCATCATCTTAATCATCATCATGGCCATCATCATCATGACCTTAATTATCATCATGGCCATCATCATCATCATCTTAATCATCATCATGGCCATCATCATCATGACCTTAATTATCATCATGGCCATCATCATCATCATCTTAATCATCATCATGGCCATCATCATCATGACCTTAATTATCATCATGGCCATCATCATCATCATCTTAATCATCATCATGGCCATCATCATCATGACCTTAATTATCATCATGGCCATCATCATCATCATCTTAATCATCATCATGGCCATCATCATCATGACCTTAATTATCATCATGGCCATCATCATCATCATCTTAATCATCATCATGGCCATCATCATCATGACCTTAATTATCATCATGGCCATCATCATCATCATCTTAATCATCATCATGGCCATCATCATCATGACCTTAATTATCATCATGGCCATCATCATCATCATCTTAATCATCATCATGGCCATCATCATCATGACCTTAATTATCATCATGGCCATCATCATCATCATCTTAATCATCATCATGGCCATCATCATCATGACCTTAATTATCATCATGGCCATCATCATCATCATCTTAATCATCATCATGGCCATCATCATCATGACCTTAATTATCATCATGGCCATCATCATCATCATCTTAATCATCATCATGGCCATCATCATTTGTCGAGTACCGTTTTTTTTTTTTTTTTTTTTTTTTTTTTTTTTCATTGTACAGTATCGCAAAAACTAGAGCATGATCTCTTATTAACGATTTTCGGCAAACATAGAGATCTAATTAATACTGTACATGTGATGTAAAATTAATCATCATTGATCGTATGTTTCTTTGTTGTTTATGTACTTTTGTTGCCATGAGAAAAACTAATTTCATATTTTAATTTGACAATAAAGCTATCTTGTATCTAATATGAATCGCTGCGATAGAAATATAACAACATAATTGTCTTCGATTTATCTACTTTACCTACTTCATGAGCCGAAAACCAATTTATCTTTACACTTTTTATCATACTTGTATAATAGAGGCACGCACTCGAGTCGTGTATTACAGTTAATTCAGATGTTTGTGGACAGAAAACACAGGCTGTCTCTTATACACATCTTGTGTTATAAAAGATTTAAGTTTAACAAAAAAAAAATTGTATAAATAAAAACAAATTGATTAAAATAGAACACAAGGAAAGAAGCCAACATTTAAGTTAATAAATAAATCAATATCAGGTTTCTTTTTAAATGTTATTGTCAAGAATACTATAAAGAAGAATCTTCTATCAATCAATTATGTTCAGTGTTAACAAGATATAATATTGATGGCGAGGATTAATTTTGGTGTACACCGTATATCTAGCAAAGAAGCACTATATGTAGATCTGGGATGGCATTTGGTAAAAGCTATTTAGATCTGTTGATGTACCACATTTAGTATTGGACAAAATGGTAGTTAAAACTTGCCAAATATAGGGGTTACTATTTACGAGCACATGATAGATCTGAATCCTGATAGATCTTGAAACGTATTTAAGAAATTGGGTTTCAAAGCGATCTTTTAATTTACTGTTCATTATTTGAGTAAATGAACAAATATTATTTGTGAGGTTTGTTTATTTTGTCATTGTTTACATGTAGAAATAAGAAAATTAAAGATATTTCTATTGATTAACTCATTTAAAGCTTGATGATGAAGCTTAATAAACAAGATTGATTACCAATTTATTTGAAACTGGTTAGCTCCGGGGCCTAG